ATATATATATATTGCAGTTACTTTTATATCTTATACCTGTGTACTAATATGTCTTTACTATACTTATATATCTACTCACAACATACATGTAATTAGGTAACTGTAGCAGTAACTGATATCGAACGTTTGGCTGCAAACTTATTGCCTATAGTTGGAAGAAGAATGATGGCGTATCTTTCGAAAACACCTAATCTCTTGGAAGAAATGTCACGAATGAGTCCAGCGCTTACAAGATATTTGGAAAATCTGGTAAGTGTGATCTGTTGGTATATATTTATCGAATATTTTTGCCTTTTTTAACCATACAATTTCTTCCAGAATGTGCCTCAAATAGTCTGTACGAATTGTTCCAATGTCGACACTGTGGAACTGATTCGGCGAATATCTGTGCATTTACCTAAAACTCACTGTGATTATCATATTGCGCAATTGATGTTGGATGCAACATTTATTTACGAGGGTAATAATTAGCTTCTGATTTTTTGGTAAACTATGTCCTGTGATACCATGAAGCATGAAGCCGCCATACACGAGAATTTTATCACAAACTGTATAATTTGTATATATTGAATACAACGAAACGCGATAATAGTTTAAATCATTGTCAATTTATCGATGGGAAGACAAGATCGTCACTATCGTGTATAATAGTAAAAAGAGTGATAATCAAGCTGCAAAGTCATAAGAGTAAGTAATATAAACTGTTATTTTTTCTTTGGGACATTATGGGCAATTTAATCAAGCGGAATTATACGACGATCTTGATACAATCTTTGAATCGCACTCTGTATTAAGAGTGTATATATTTGTACATATAATATTTATTATATATATAGTATCGCTTTATCACAGGACTAATTGTTCTTGTTCTAAAAGATGTGTGTATATATATATAATAATAATAATTTATTTGGCTTTTTTGGGGAAAGGGGAGAGATTAGAACGTATTTATCGATTTTTCAAGTATTCAGTATAGAGTCAATAATTTCTAATCTGTAATTATTCTAATTATTCTATCATGTATATCTGTAATTAAATATAATATTTCTTTTGAACTTACATTTTTTTTAGAATAATTATCTTTAAAAAGTTGTTCTTAAGAGATCTGTAATATTGAATGCATAATATAT